AAAAAAAAAAAAAAAAAACCCCCCCCCCCCCCAATCAATAATGAATAATATAAATAAATAAACTTTAAAGTTACAATTTCTTGATCCCTGTGATGGCTATTTGCATCAAAGGAGAACAATTTTACAAACATGTCAGTGCACTGTGCAGCGCCCTTTTCTTTGAGCTAGGGTTATTGTGGCTTCATGAAGCCTTGTGTACTAAAAGTGTAACTATTGAGATGTCATCACATTTTCCCAAGTCATAAGGTCGACATAAGTAAGCACTGTTTTTGTAACTTTTCTCAAACAAAAAAATGACTTAAGCAATTCACTACCCTAGAATTGCAATTTTTTTGGTGCTCAAGACCTAGTTTTGAGAAATTTGATATAAAAAAATTTGAGTTTCATAACATGTCAAGCTATTTCGAATGCAATTCTTTGAATATCTTGATAACGACTCCGAATTATATTACAATTTTGATAGAGTAGATAGAACTTTTGGTTTCTGACCTCATGGTCTTAGTAACTCAAAACGGCCAAAAATGTTGAATAGAGCTTTGTAATTCTGAGGTACTGTAGTGAATGGTGCTCTGACTGTGACCTTGTGTGTGGTTGTACTCACAGTAGCGTAGTGGCGCCCCAGCCCACGGCCTTGGCTGCAGACAACAAGCCCTCCGTCCACCTGTGGTTCCTCTTGTAGAAATCTGTGGCAGATGTCGTGCCCTGTAAGAGGAACAAGACTCTCACTGAAAAAATTGTCGCTCAAAGACTGGCACTCAAAAATTTTCACTGAAAAACTGGCACAAAAAATTGTCAGAAAAAGAATTGTCACTTAGAAATTGTCACTATTAACTACAGTTGAACCTGTTCTAACTGCCACCTGTCCAAGACAACCACTTGTCCAAATGGCCACTTCCCATTTCCCCCCCTTGTGACTCAAAAAAAAAGAACCATTTTAAAATGACACAGTCTAAGATATCTGCCTGTCTAAGATGGCCACTTTTCTCCTCTACAATGGGTGGCCGTCTTTGAGAGTATCTACTGTACCCTGAAATCTTTCGGGTTTTGTTTGCCCTCGATGATGATAATAAAGATGATGATAATAATAATGATGGTGATTGATAATTATAATGATGGTAATAATTATATTGATGGTAATAATAATACTGATAATAATTATAATACTAATAATAATAACGATAGTGTAATAAATGTATGGACTTACCCTGCCTGATGACACAATTTCTTTTTGAAGATCTCGAGACTTCTCCACAAGCACCTTGATAGACTGGGGAAAGAAACAGGAGAAAATTCCAAGTTCAAATCTAGTTTAAATTAGATGAGATTTATCTTTATTGTCCAGTCACTGGCACATTGGCTTGGCGTTTCACCACACACACATGCACGCAGGCATGCAATCAGGCATACTGCGTCACACATCCTCTCTTGCACTCATACAAACATGTCTTTTAATCCCAGTTTCAGTTACAAAATTCTTTTCACATGATGACATGTTATATAAAAGGAAAGGGATTTTTTTGGAGAAAATACTTGAAAATTTTCAAACTAGTATTTGCAAACAAAAAGACGGTTTGCAGACACATTTACTTTGGGGTTATAGCGAAAAAAAATAAATTGTGACAAGAATAGCTACCTTTCTTATAGTAAACGTAATAGTGTAATAAAAGAAAAAAATGGTAACACCGCATCCCTGCCAATCATCCAATCATACCCAACTCAACAACACTCTTACCTTCATCAGCTCTGTACACGACCCTAGAATACTTTCGCTGACCTCTAAGTTGACCCCTGTACTGTCCTCTCGAGACTTGTGCAGCATTTCCTGTGGAGAGAATCAACACACTTGAAACAGTTGACAGAAAACTGAATAGAAGTTTAAAGTGTGAACCACCCCTGGAATTTAACAAGTTCATTCAGATTTTTTAAAAAGTATATGGGTTCACTAAAGGTGGATGAAATGTGCAATCACAAGCAAATGGGTATTAAAAAAAGTTACAACTCAAGTGTAGAGACAAAAACAATGAAAGGACAATAAAGTAGGGGCCAAGGAATAAGGGGAACGATGTGGGGGGGGGGGGATAAAGAGAACCAGAGAAAAGTAAGACAGAGAGAGAGAGAAAGAGAGAGAGGGGGAAGAGGGAGAGGGAGAATGAGAGCAAGAGGAAAGAGATAGTGAGTGAGGGGGAAATACAGAAAATTTGAGAGAGAAAAAAACAGATAAAGAGAAAGACAGTCTGCTAGAAAATTGGCCCGACATGAGAAGAGCAAGAAAGATAGGGAGAGAGAGAGTGGGGGGAGAGGGGGAGAGAGGGAGAGAGAGAAAGAGAGAGAGAGAGAGAGAGAGAGAGAGAGAGAGAGAGAGAGAGAGAGAGA